CATCTACCATATATGTGATCAAATTCCCTCTGCATAGGCCCAAAGTCTTCGGCTTTTTGACAAGACCAAAAAGGCGCCCAAAATCCCAACCGTGTCGCTGCTGGTCGAACCTCGCAAAGCCAGCACCATCAAGTTCAAGTCCTCAATCGTGTCGGGCACGATATTTGCTGGGGAAGGCAGCCTCCTTGCGCTTGCCTCTGTCGTTGCATTGATCGTTGCCGTCCAAGAAGACCGGACCCCGTCGCCACATGTCACGACCGCCGTATGCAGCGAAAGGGACAGCCCAGACAGGTGGGGGTGGTTAATCGCCAAAGGGATTCACCTCTGAGATTGTCTCCTCGCCGTCTTCTTCATCTGGCGGTGGTTCTGGAGATCTCTGACGGGGTGCCCCGCGTGGACCACGACCTCCACGCCCTCCGCGAACTCCCCCGCGCACGCCCCGATCGCCGGCGTCACTGTTCGTCTACAAATCCTCAACCATGTTGTTGATCGTGAGACGCACTTCTTTGATCCCCGTCGAAAGATTCTCAACCCAACGATCCAATTGATTGATCTGGCGGCCGAAGTCAGTGGCTTGTTGACCCGGATACTCAATGGTGACATCACGCCCGTCGATGTCGTACTTTCGCGGCGGCATCTTGAATCGTGCTGACTTTTGATATTAACTGATGTAGGGAAGCGTACGAGTTGAACGATATTAATGAGATCGCAATCTCAAGAACATCTAAACACAATATCATTCATGTTTTCATTAAATAATTCACCTGAAGAACACAAAAGAGGAGGAGTTCTTTAACTAATGCTCCTAAACCCTACTCTTAACTTGTCCAACAAGACATGATCTCTTACTAAATATTCTAATACCAATAATACGACTAATAATTATTCTCTTACCAATTAAATACTAAACATATAAGAAATAATAATAAAAGGGCCAGTAATAAAAGGAAATAAATATATATATATCATAAATTAATGATGCTAGACGATTGCTCATCTACATCACAAATTGTGAGTAGAATATTCGAAAAAAAACACCAGCCCACTAACCAGCTTCTAACTCGACTTATATGCATGTATACAAATATATTGATCAGTATTCAAGAAAATACTAATATTTAATAAAGTAGAAATTATTAAAAATTAATTAAACTTATAAAGATATAATCAATATACATATATTATTCATTAAATTATAAAATCTTATAAATAGTATAAGAATGTTATAAAAGAAAAAATAATTTCAGAATAAATCTATTATTGAAATTATCAAGTGCCACTACAAGTATATGATAAAATTCCAACGGAAATATATTCCAACGGCAATCCAACAGATATTCCAATGATATTATTTTCGTAGGAATTTTCCAATGGATTCCAACAGAAATTCCAACAAAAAGATTCCGTTGGAATGAGTTTTTCATTAGAATTTTTGTTGGGTTTTGACGATTCCAACGTATATTTTCCAACGGTTGAAATATGGGTGAAAATAAAAATTTCAACAGAAATTGTATTTTCTAACAAAATTCCTACGATAAAAATCATTGGCAAAATAGCCGTTGGAATGATTAAATTCTATCTAAATTCCAATGGAAAAACTCATTGAAATTTTCATTGGAATCACTCCAACGGAAACTATACCATTAGAATATCCATTGAAATTTCCATTGAAATATATCACCGTAGGATTTTCCGTTGTAATATGACATTTCTTTTGTAGTGTGCTTTGTCATCCCATATTTTTCTAATTAGTCGAACATATAAAATTATTATTTATACAATTTGCCCGAATATCAACACTAACACTTTTTGAAAGTGTTATTCATTCTTTTAGGCCATGTTTATCTCATTAATCCGGTTTGAGGTGTAATAATCCCCCAGTCAGATCAATAATTTATCTGGCTCGTATGAGTTCAGTCTACTGCAATAAGAACGAGAACTTAATCAAGATAAGGAAAAAGATTGTTGGGTATGTGGCTTTGACCCAAAATTTTACAAAAGTTGGATAGTGAAAAAGTGAGTGATTTGTTGGCACTATGGGGCTAAAGGTGAGTTTTCTGTGAAGTCTGTCTATGCCTTTTTCATGAAGCTAAAGTCAGAGTCCAATTCTTGTTCCTCTAGTTCCAGGGCTGATAGGGAAAAGCAAATGTGGAAAAAAACTTGGAAGCTTCCTTTGATTCCAAAACTTAAAAATTTTATGTGGAGAGTGTGTAAGGGGTTTTTAAGTACAAAAGTCCATTTGGCCTACAGAGGGATTAGGTTGAATACTATTTGTCATTTATGCGGAGAGGACCAAGAGGATATGGAGCATTTGTTCTATAAATTTTGTAAAACTAAACTCTGCTGGAAGCTGTTGGGTCTTGAGTGGAATGCTTTACAGGTTGAACAAAAGATGATAACAGAATGGTGGGAAGAAACTTGTGGGAGTAGTAGATTTAAGCAAATGTTAGATCGAGTTGTGGTGTCAGTTTGTTTAATGTGGTCAATCTGGAAGGCTCGGAATAGGACTCTGTTCAATGGAGAACCATTTCAAGAGATAGAGGTGGTCAAAGGGGCCAGGAAGGCCTGGCTGGAAATGTGGGCTTCGAGACTATCAGATCAAGCTGCAACTGCTCAACAAGATTCCATGAAGTACACAGGAGAACATTTTTCCTCGAGGGTAGGGCTTGTGTGCATACAGGCCAGTTCCCTACGTTCTTCTGATGGAAAAGTGGAAGTTTCCGGAAAAGCTTTTCAACATGGTAGCCAGATTCATGCATGGCAAAGTGAAGGGCTGTGGGCTGGGGAAGAAAATATGGCATCTCTACTTGTTGTGCGCCGAAGTCTTGAGGAAGTGGCCAGGATGAAGTGGACAGACATTCAATGCTGTTTAGAAAACAAGAAAGTTCACCTTGAATTCACTCAGAGAGTCACCTTCAACCTGGTCGGGAGTTCTCTTTGATATTGTAGAACTAATGTCTTCATTTGCTAGTTGTGATTTTTCTTTTCTTATGCTCTGAACTGTAAGATCATGTTGGGCCGGAGAGGGTGAAACACTTGTTGCGTTCACTCTTTTCTTTACTTTCTAGTGATGGCTAGTTGGTAATAGTGATGTAATCAGTTAGTTATGCGTGTAAGACTTTCATGAGTTTTATTTTATGTTTTTTTCATTTGAAAAAAAAAATGTAATTTTTACAACATCTCTCTTTCTCTCTCTCCTTGTAAAAATACAAAATCCCCAAATCTTGCCTTCTCCGGCGAGACGTCAGCCGTTTCGACGGTAGCTGACCCATGGCTGCTCGGCTTTGTCTTGGAGGTGTCGTTCTTCATTCGCTCAAGCCGACGGGGTGGGAGACGGTGGAGGTCCAAGAGGTTTCGCCATCTTTCCCGGTCGCCTCTTCGGGCTGGTGGCCCGTCAATCTCCTCGGTGGCGAGACGGTGGAGGACGCCGGTGCTTCTGACGGAAAGGGTTGTGGCTTCGACGGCCGGATTGTGGGGGTCGGTCGGAGTAGTGGAGACTTGACTATTCCCCCTGTTTCCTCTGGCCTTTGGTGTGCGGGTCGATGGTACTGCTGGCAAGACGAGCCCTGGTCCGTGTGGGCTGAGCTCAGGGCGATGGTGGTGTGATGGGGTTTGGTTCAGTTTCCTCCGGCTGAGGGTTGGGTCGGCTCCATGGATATAGGGGCGTAAGTTTCAGTTTCTGGTGTTGGGGTCTGAGGCGAGTTTCGGTCCGATTGGGTGGTCGGCCTTTGGTATTACTGTCGTGATTGTTTGGCGTGTTCCCGGCCGTGAGAAGGGCTTTATCCATTATTTCTTTGTGTTTTGTGTTTCTTTGTGTTTGTGTTTTGTGGTTGTGTTTTGTGGTGTTTTGCGTTTTCTGTTTGTGTTAGGTGGTCTGTGTTTGTTTTCTTCTCTTCTGGAGGAGCGTATTATTTTCCTGTGGGGAGTTTGAGTCATTCTCCTGTGAGGAGACTTTATTTTTCTTTTTGTGTTGTAGTATGTGTTGTGGCCTCTAGGCTGGCTTCCCTGAGCAGCTCTTATTCCGGTTGTCATTCGGCTGTAATTATGTGTTTTTCGTTAATGAATCTATCGTTTTGGAAAAAAAAAAAANTAAAAAACATCTACTAGTTAATTTTACTATAAGTACTTCCAAAGCAAACAAAGATTAGGCTATATTTGTAAAAGAATAAACTTAATCCAAATTTATTCACACTCAAAATCTAACTTAACTTTAACTCAACCTCACTATCTTCAATTTTATCAATATAATTAAATAATAACAACCAATCATTTTTACACATCATATCAACTTTAATTCACTATTCATCCACTCACATAATATCTTCAATTTTATCAATACAATTAAATAATAACAATCAATCATTTTTACACATCATATCAACTTTAATTCATTATTCATCCACTCACATGATATTAACTAACTATCACTTAATATCATCTCTCTCATACTTTTACATCAAATCAATTTTAATTATTTTATTTTAAATATTATTTTAATATAAACTCAAAATCTATTAACTAAAAAAATTCACTTTTAAATTAATTTGAGTGAATTTATTCTTTTACAAATACACCTTTAATCAAATCACATCAACATTAATGATAACATTCCATTAAACATTTAAAAACGTCACAAGCTATATATTAAAGCCAGATTTTCACGCTTTCAGCCACTCTTAGATTACGACATATAAACCCATCCCCAACAAAAACTAACTATTATGAGACACCTTAATTGTATGTGATGTGTGATTGTATAAACCAGGTAAATATGGACAAGCTCAATGCATGTGGATAAGTTACAATCACACAACCCATGCCACCTTCGTTTTCTCACCCATTAACTCAAAAAAGGTGAAATTAGATGTGTGTGTATAAATACATGAACCATAGTTCAAGAATTCATTCATCCCATACATTAATTAATTAAGTTATTTATTTGCAAACGGGAGAAAAATATATATATACATAATAATAATTAATGTTTCGTGCTTTAAAAAATGTTGAGTTATTGTCAATTGAGTGTTTTTGTGATCGTTTTGGTTATTATGGCCGTGAATAACGTTAGATCAGACGAGGTACAATTCGATGTTAACTATGATGTTACTTGGGGAAATGACCATGTTTCAATCATCGACCAAGGAAGAGAAGTTCAGCTCTCTATGGACAGCAATTCCGGTTCAAATATGTTTTTATAATTTTTTGAATATTATTTAATGACTAAATAGTTATAAATAATGAAATATAGTAAATATGTGTGTTGTGTTGGTGCATATCGGCCATGTTATGCACATGTAATACTTTTATAATTACTCCATATATAGCCTAATGTGAAAGTTAGCAAATTAAACTTGCCGATTAAGCATTGTATGCAGTATATAATTAGTCATATATAGAATATCTGATGAGTTGTATTAATTAAATTAATTTTCATGTAATTGTAAATAGGGTCTGGATTTGGATCGAAGCTGATATACGGGTCCGGGTTCTTTCATATGAGGATCAAGCTGCCCAACAAGAACACTGCTGGAGTTGTTACAGCCTTTTATGTAAAATTTAAATTGACTCTAAAATCAATTCTCTTTTTTCTGGCACTTACAAAATTTAGTTTAAAAATCTTTAGTTAAATATTATTTTGCTTAAAAAGAAATGGATCACGTGAAAAAATAGACGAACTACAGAGACGGGTCACGGGGCCCTGTGACATTTTTTATTTATTTGAAGAAAAATGTCGTATATATGTATAGTAATAAAAATAAAATAAAATTGTAAAATACTTGAAAGTAGTAAGAATTAATATAATACTATTTTTTTCTTATTTAAGTTAATTCAGGGTTTTCTAATTACTTTTTGTACAATTAAGGCTCCAGGTTTAGCTTTACATATTTGAATATTTTCAATCTAACTTTAAATTTCATTTGTTAAAAAAAAAAAAAAATATAATTAAGAAACTTATTCAAACTATATAAGTGTCTCATCATTTTTTTTTTTATTCGATTTTAGATTTTTACCTCAAACAAAAGAACTCTAGCTTTAAATTTTTCTGATTTGTTGGAAAAGAATTATCTTCTCCATTGTTTTATGGGTAAAAACTATTAAACATGATTATGTAATTATAAATTTGAAAGTTAAAACTTATAATTTAAAAAATGAAGATATTATTAATTAATGAATAAACTCTTATTTTCTATCATTAATTAATGAATAAACTCTTATTATTAATAAATAAATGTATGTCAACTTTGCAGCTGTCTTCAAACACGGGTAACCATGACGAGGTAGACTTTGAATTCTTAGGCAATAAAGAAGGAAAACCCATCATACTGCAAACGAATTTGTTTGCAAATGGGCAATTGGGAAATAGAGAGCAAAGGATACGCCTCTGGTTTGATCCAACCCAAGATTTCCACACTTACGTCATCCTCTGGAACCAGCACCAAATTGTGTAAGAAAATTAATATATATTTCGTCATATTATTTTATTATTTATAAATTTTTATTGAAGTGACCCCTTTTTTTTTAACTTGTTCAGTTCTTCCACTCAAGAAAATTAATAAAATATATCTAAAACATCAATTTTAGGACACTGAACAATTGAATAATATTTATATTTAACAATAGTGTGTAATTTGTGTATTTTCATATTTGCAGATTTTATGTTGACGATATTCCAATAAGAGTGTTCAAAAACTATACAGATATTGGTGTTCCGTACCCAACACAGCCTATGCAGATATTAAGCAGCATATGGGACGGATCGGATTGGGCCACAGATGGAGGGCGGACTAAGGTCGATTGGGCCTTCGCACCATTCATGGCCCATTTTCAGGACTTCAATGTTGTGGCCTGCCCATTATCATCCTCAGAAAATAGAGAGAACTGCTATGCGTCAAATTATTGGTGGAACGACAAAAAATATTGGAAATTAAGCCGTAATCAGCAAGAGGAATATGAGCGAGTGATGACACAATATCTGAATTATGATTATTGTGATGATAGGGAGAGATTTCCTACTACTCCACCTGAGTGCCCATAAAACGGAAATCATGAATGAATATTTAATCATTATGAATAATTACTATCTGTCATTTGATAACATTTTTTTTTTTCCTGAAAAAAACATCTTTTATAAATTTGGTATATAATTATAAAAAACAAGTACGCACATAACAATATTAAAATAATTTTACTATTGTTATGATGGGGAAAAAAATATTACAAATAATTTTATAATATTAAAATTATAAATTAGATAATGATACTATTATGTTTTAAAATTTGATCATTGGTTAAAATAAATAGTACTAACTATTTGATCGCATATGAATCACTATATTGATTGCATAAAATGTATATTGTGTCACATGAACATGGTATACTCACAATTCTCTGTGATAAGTCACATAATTGAAGAAACTTTATAACAAAAACAAAAAATATGTTGGAAAATCGGCGTTCATAAAATTTTTACCGTCATTAGTTCATAAATTTAACAATGATGTTACAATTGAAGATTATCAAACTCAACGCATTGTTGCAACCAAACTGACCCTAAATATCTTACAATTGAAGTGCGGGGGCCACGTCAGCTAAACCAGAATGCAATCACGAAATAAAACTGAAAAAGAAAAATAAAAATTCATTTATTTATATACAATCTTGAAAAAAAAAAAAACTAGTATTAATCTTGTGCACATGCACATATTATCATAAATAAATATTAAATATAAAAATCTCAATAAAAAAATGTTCAATAGTATGTATCAAATTTATAATTAAATTGCTACAAAGAATGTTAGTTGGATTTTATATTCCAACAAAAAAGAGCAATATAAATATAGAATTTATCATATATTAATGACTATTATCTATTACTATATAATACGGAGAAGAAAAATTATTTGAACAATCCGAAAATAATCATTTCGTTTTCCCGCTTCTTCAATTCGTCAATTTTTTTTTTTTGAATTTTTTCAGCCCATGCAATTAGGTAACCAATCAAATCGAATCTTTTAGCATTCAATTTGGTAAGGTGTTCCGATTTTAGCATTCAAATCCGATTTCACTTCCTTTTTTTTTGTCAATCAATCCGATTTTTTTGGTTGTTTCAAAATTTGTTTAGATTTATATTTTTATTTTATTAATATATTTGAAAGAGAATCAATAAATGTTTATCATAACTTTTATTTTAAAAATAAATTTGAATAAGCATACCTTTTACTTTATATGAAATTCAAATTACATATTTTAATATATTAATAAACGTTTATTATTTATTTTTTCCTTATGTTATATAATAGAATTTCGGTATTAAATTTGTAAATTCAAACATTTAAAGGAAAAGATTCCAAACAATTTTTTGGGTAAATTTCATTTTATCTTGGTTTTCATTATCACATTTCTAACAAACTAATTAGTATTATATTTTTTTATCTACATTATCTAACCGATTTTTTATGATACAATTAATATAATATCTTAACAAATTAATCATTTGTCTAACCGGATTTATCTCTCTAACAAACTTGCCAATTTTTTTAAAATTAAAATGGTATGATTATTTTTTGGGAGATACTTATCAATATATTAAATATTTAGAAACTTTTTTAAAAAATGAATTATCCCTCCTTTTACTTTATTTGAAATTCTGACTTATATTTTTAAATATATTATTATTTATTTTTTTACATGTAAATATTTATTATTTATTATCTAAGTGATAAATATTATTAATTTATCTCTTTAATAAATATTTATTATTTATTTTTTCCTTACGTGATATAATGTAAATTTGGTTACTAGATTTTAAATTCAAACATTTAGGAAAAAACCACGAACAAATTTTTTGGTTAAATTTCATTTTATTTTAACTTCCATATAATCACAATCCTAACAAACTAATTAGTATTATATTTTTTTACCCATTTTTATATAATCGGATTTCTTAAAATATAATTAATATAACATTTTAACTATTTAATCATTTGTATAACTTGATTTAACTCATTGTCAAACTTGCCAATTTTTTTTTGAAATTAAAAAAAAAATTTGGAAGATTTTTATTTGTAAAATAATAAAAAATAGCTTTACTTTAAAGTCTGGATTATTTCTATTATTTTTTGTACGTTAACAATCATATATTTTGGATTATTGATTTAAAAAAACAAATCAAAACCGTAAGGTTTAATAATATTCCTTAAATAAAAAATATTGTATAAAGAAAAGTATTTAATATTATATATTTTTCATTGATTGTATTTATTTTATTTTCATAATAGACGAGATGTGAAAAATATAAATAATTATATTTAAAATAAAGTCTAAAAAATGTTTAAAATATGAACTCTTCCGTGCATCGCACGGGATATACACTAGTTATATGAATATAGTGAATAATCTAATTTTTATACATTTTGAATATTATATTAATAACAAAAATAAAAGTATTACGAAAGTAAAATACAAATTTGAAACGGACAACATAAATTTTATATACCACATAAAATGATATATTTCAGAGAAACATCGTACAAATTATATACATAATATATTTATATGATAAAATACATATATAGTTAGAATATTTCATCTAATAATTTTTCACTTATAATCAAATACTCGTATGGGTAATATTTTATTATAAAAATATTTAGTCATTATTAAATATCACAATCACAATTACTTGTTACATATTAATAAGATTTTTTTTTTTCACAAATATATAAGCAAAATAAAGAACCATTGCATCTCAATCAATAGACTAATGTATAGAACTTTATGTATGTTACAACAATAAGAAATTTAATCTAGAATAAAAATTGGTAAAATAACTTAAGTTGATAAAACTAACATTAATTTACATTATCAAAATGACTGAAAAAATAGGTAGGATTTCTTATGTTTTTCATACACACACATATATTAATAATGGGGTAAAATGACTGAAAAAATAGGTAGAATTTCTTATGTTTTTCATACACACACATATATTAATAATGAACCCCTATAAATGAAAAGACAAAATAGTTGATAAGGTTATGATTTGATTTTACAAAATTATTTCATACGACAATTTTGAAATCTATATATTACTTTACTTCTTTTAATTGCCTTGAAAATCAATTGTATTGAACTAATTAAAATGATTAAAAATAATCATGAATAATTTAAAATCTAAATGTTAAATAAATGTACAACCAGAATAAAGGAGATATATATAGTTGATTACAAAAAAATATAATATTACTTACCAAATTAACAAAAAGGGAATTATATTAATTTATAAGATATAACCGTTGCAATTTTATTGAGTACTAAATATTAGTTACAAAATTAGAGATGTAAATACAAATAAGATGGTAGTTTAAAAATAAGAAAAATAGAGAATACATGTCAGATCTCTCGAAAACTCCTCAACGCATTGAAACATACTAATAATAGAGAATACAAGTTAGATCTCTCGAAAACCCCCGAGCGCGTCTTCTCCCCCAAAGCCAAAAGCCCCAAACCACTGTAACCTAGCCTCTCTTCCGGCAGCCCTAGTGCCATGTTTTCCAGCGTTCATCTAGCCAGCCCCAGTGCCTGGCGGTACAACGCTGGCGGGCTTTCATCCTCTCCATCCGAGTGGTCTCGATCTTCATTTTCGTCATATTGTATGTAGTGGGGAGGTCAAAGCTGGCGGCAGTGTTAATTAGAAAAAATAAAATTATTTAAACTAACTTAACTAAAAAATAGCTATTTGATAAAATTATATATGAATGTTAATTAGAAAAAATAAAATTATTTAAACTAACTTAACTAAAAAATAGTTATCTGATATAAATTAAAAAAATAATATAATATGATAAGTCGTGTAAGTGACAGTTTAAATATAAATAATGATATTTTTTTTAAAAATATTTAAAAACTAAAACAATTTTTGCTGATATTTTTATTCAATTTTAAATCTCCTCTATATATAATCCAGATTGCGCTGAGCCTACGTGGCTAACTCTCAAGTTTTGGAATTGGCAAAAAATTCGTGCTTTAGAGCTAGACTTGGATATAAATTAATAATTTTTATCATACTAAATCCATGATTGATTTTTTCCTTCTTTACTTCTACAATTAGTTACCATAAACTATTTTATATTTCATTTTCCTACATTAACATACATCACATTTTATTTTCTTATATAATTCATTTATTAATTTTTATAAATGTTTATTCTTCTTATTTTAAGATTTTATAACTTTTTTGTTTGTATTTTATATGATATAAGTTAAAAAATTCAACACGGGTTGACATTTTCATTTAATGTACGCGTGTTTAATTATTATGATTAAAAAAATATAATTTGACAATTTAATTAAAACTCAAAGTAATATTTTATATAAAAATTAAATTATTTTAGTTTTTAAAAAAATAAAAAATTTAATATTTTTTACAAAAGCTTTCTAATTCAACACCCGTGTAATACACAGTTATTGTACTAGTATAATTTTATTAACAAGTACCGGTGTACTGGTGTCATTTTAAATATATATATATATATATTAATACATTAATTCAAAAATAGTATTCAAAATTATAATATTTTTATTATAATTTTATATATCTATATATATATAATTACTAGCTCAAAACATTTAATAAAACCTATTTAATTTTACCTATGTGGCAATTTAACAATTCTCTCTCCAAAAACCGTTACATTTTGATGTATTTAATCTTTCATTTAATCATTAAATAATTAATACTCATCACTTCAAAATTACAAAAATTATTTTAAATTTTTTATTAATGACAGTTGACCATATAATGTGTTGACCGTATAATGTGATTAGATGTTATTATTGTTGTTACATTTAATTTTTTTTTTAAATAAAAAATATATTTGAAATTCCTAAATAAATAATAAATAATTCACAAATAAAAGACGTACCAAAATATACATTACATCCAATCAGATAAACGCAATTTAAAAAAAAATATTTCAACTCTTTTAATTGTAAATTTAGTCTGCAAAAAATGAAAGAAAAATAATTAATCATTATATGCATACAGACTCACAATAATTTATATATATCTGTGCAAATGCACAGGTCGAATACTAGTAATTTCTAAACAAGCACCCGTATTGTATTACTTAAATTTATTCTTTAATATTTATCATGCATTTAAATTGGTAATAAGATTTCATTAGTTAAATTTATTCTTTGTTATTCATCATGCATTTAAATTGGTAATTCGATTTCATAAAGTTTCCACATCTTCAAAATAATCGCAGTACATTTTCAGTTTTTGTCTCTGCGCCTATTTTCTTCAGTTCCAGCAATTACCCTCGAATCGTACTTAATTCATTCCCTTCGCTATTTCCTTTCGGGGATTCTGTGGCAGCAGACTTGCTGAGCAGCCACACGATGTACGCTGATCGAGTGGAAGCTCAGGCTAATAGATCGATTAAGGAGCGCCTGAACGGCAATTCGGCCGCTACTTCCAGTCGTCGAAGGCCTATCTCCGGCAAGAGGTCAGCTTTCACGTTTTCCTTTTATTTCGTTTACTTCGAGTGTTTATAGGTTTAGGTTTTATTTTTTATTTCCTCCTTTTCTTGTCCTGGATAATGTGAACCTATCCGATGTTTAGGTTTAGGTTTTATTTTTTATTTCCTTGTTTTTTTTGTCCTGGATAATGTGAACCTATGGGATGACTGTCTTAGATGACTTACTGGTATTTTCTAAACCAAGTCAATGGAAAATGGTACTGTTTCTTCGAAGGTATACAAAATCGTATCTAGATGAAAGGACTTCCTCATAGTTAAGATTGTTGTTGCAGTAAGACACTCTTTCCCTGGTCAAATATGGGTCATGTGTTGGATATGGTTTGTATCGGTTTAGTTTTTTTCCCCCTAAATCGCAGAGGGCGTACAAACATTGTAGAGTCCAATAAATCAGGCGGTTCATTTTTGTTGGAGTAAAAATATCTTGCTAAAATATCTAGATAATTAGTCAATGTTATGACCAAAGTTGGGATCATGCTTAGCATGTCTTGAGGCTCTTGGTTCTTACAATCTCACCAATGCATGTGGGATATCACCAAAGGATATGTTTTTTCTCTGTCTCAGTGTTCTGGCACTCTCTAATAATCACACATGTGGTAGGGCTGCTTACGCAAGACTAACCATTAGGGAGACACTTTCTCAATAATAATGCACTCTTATTATGAGATTTCATAGTTTAAGAATGAACATAAAGGATTATATTTCACTGCGTAGTATTCATTTTTTTCTCAACAAGTATGGTGGTTTGGCTAGCCTAATTATTAAGCTAGGAATAGCATCCTTTATGTTGCAAATGAAATTGAAACACCTAGATTGCGAAGAAGTTCAGGATAATATTCCTTTTTTTTTTTTTTTTTNGTGGGAGAATATGGTTTCCTTCATTTATTAATTTTAACTGCTTCATGCAGACGGAGAGAAGATGATGGCAACTGGGAGCATGATCTTTTTGAGGGTAACAGGCCTCAGGTTTCAAGTAAGAAGGACCTCTAGTAAAGTTGCATTAGAATAGTCTTTGGCTTACTGTGTATTATTGTATTCACTAGTTAATGTGGCTTTCACTTTGTATGCTTCCATGGATTAGATCACAGAGTTGGTGTGAAGGATCTTCGTCTGAAGCTTCAAAGGAAAAGCATTGGGCAAGCTACTCAAAATGCTAGAGGATCTGCTCTTGGCGGTGCAAGGGATTTACGTGAGAAGCTCTCTGGGTCACTTTATTCTGGTCGTATTGAGTCTCATCCAGCGCCATTGAGATCAAAGCCTGCACCTGAAGCCAGTAAACCTGCTAGGAGTAGTGCCATCACTGAAGCCCCGGCTCGAGAAACAATGAAGATTGCTGCCTCTATACCAAAAAATAAGAAACAGAAGGTAAACTACATGTAGCATCTTTTCAGATAGATTGTCTGTTTGAACTTTAGTATTATAAGTGTTGCCTCTGTTCCTTTAGGAACTTTTTGAACATTTCTACGATCTTCAGCAGTGATTTTGTTGCATTAAGTTTATGCAGGTTGAGACGGTGAATGGTTTCTTGCAGTCCCTGGGTCTCGAGAAATATACAATAACATTTCAGGCTGAAGAAGTAGGGGAATATTATAACTTTGAACTTTCTGTCTTCTATTTCCAATAATCTTACAGATAATATAATTGTGGGAAATGACAGGTTGATATGACAGCATTAGTACACATGGGTGATGAAGATCTCAAGGCCATGGGAATACCAATGGTCAGTGTTTCCTTGCTAGCTTTGTACATGTTATGGATCTTCCTTGTATGATAATTGCATTCTACTTTAGCCTTTAGCATAAATATATACCCCAATATTTTATATGTTCATGCATGGGTCTATTTCTTGTTGTTTTAAGAAATATAAGTGCAGAAATATGGCCGATAGATAGGAATTGAGAGGTACATGAATCTTTGGAAAGCCACTTCATTTTCCTAGTATAGGGGTGCTATTTTTATTTGTCTCTATTCTGTCTGGTATTTAAGTAATGATAAAATATTGTTTTGCTGAAAGTGGTGTAACCTAAAACTACCAAATTTGTTGTTGAGCCTTCTATCTCCAAAACTTGTAATTTAGCTGCTCAACTCCAGTTTTTCAAATTTTGAAACTTACCGTAGCCTTGGATTAGAATGATTGAGCCCAGGATCTTGTCGCTGCTCTTATTGTATGTACAAGTTTCTATCAATGTTGTTCGTGCATATTATTCTTGAAAGTATCATCCTGTGCTTATATTCTTTTAACCACAAGGGCCTGCTCCTCCACTTTGTTCCTAAAGTACTTGGGCTTGCTTGGATATAAGTTTTTTTTTTTTTTTTNACTTATTAAAGTATGTTGGGTTAGGTTTGAGTGAGATTTGGAGCATGTATTAAAATAATATTAAAATAAAATAATTAAAGCTGATTTAATGTAAAAGTAGGAGAGAGGTGATAGGTAGTTAAAATTATGTGAGTGGATGAATAGTGAAAAAGTTGATGTGATGTGTAAGGATAATTGATTGATATTACTTAATTATATTGATAATATTGAGGGTAGTGGGGTTGAGTTAAATTTTAGTTAGATTTGAGTTGTGATTTGATTTTTTTTTTATAACAACTTATATCCAATCATGCACTTAAAGATGTGTTGGTCAACTTTTGGAGGTTATCTGGACAAGTATTCGAGGAAATTAGACAACGTGATGTAATAACAAAAAAGTATACTGAAGAATGTGATTTGGTTTTGGTCTGTTTATTCGTCGGGGAGAAAGAAAGTGAAAACGGAAGAAGTGGTTATAAATAGTGCATAAAAGTTTAGTAAAGGGTCATTGTATCCTTTATTTTCGAGTGTCACTCTTTCTTTAACTTTTGAAAAATCCATTGCTTAAACTGTATAGGGAAGAGCTTAGCTGTTAGAGGTCTTATTTTTAAGGAAAGGTACTACGGCTAAAGGGGCTTGGGATCAAAGTCTAAGGGGCTGGTTAGCACAGACCAATGAAATTGCAGACATCAGTTGGAGAGAGATACTCATTTGTATATTATACTTCTTAAACACTCATTTAGTTTTTTGTAAACTTCCTATGCGCCTAGTTGATCTTAGCAAGGTGTTTGAATTTGTTAGACCATTTATATTTTTATTCCCTAGGGAATTGATGTCTGTTATACATGGAATATATTGTCGTGGTGGTTGATTCATCCGTTCATGGTCCTTTACAATTCCATTACTCCAAGAAATGTTCAATAAGGAACTAATGAAAATAGAAATAGTTCTTTTTCACATGTAGGCTGTAGCAATTGTCACATGTGTGTGTACTGTTGACTCAACCTGCAACTAATTTGATTTGTGTTCTATTAAAGACTTGGTAGATGGTAGATAGGTCTTAATTTCTAACTTAGGTCAAAATAGTAGATGCAGTTGTGACCTGTTAGAATTTTCTGTTGCTTATTAATTTGCAATAAATTACATCACTATATTCAAATGTTGCTCGAATAATCTGATTCTAGTCCCTGCTTTGCTACTTAAAGCTATCCTGATCATTCATTTGTTTGTTTGTGTATTGTGAGATTAACTTAAGCACAGGCTTCCATTATTTTGAATTTTCAGATTTATCCATTCATGCTATCTTCACTGAATCACTTTTTTTCTGTTTTTAGGGTCCGAGGAAAAAGATACTTCTGGCACTGGAATCGAAAGTATGATAATTGAGTGGAGTAAGCCAGTTGTTCTTCAGATCATCTGATTGTATACAGGAGTGGACCGACCATCAATCAATCTACTAGTGGCCTATTGTCATACAGGTTACAGCTTTTCTGGAGTAGAGTTCCAAATTGTGTCGTCGAAAATGGCTTCAATGGGCATGTAATTGTAGTTTAAACATAAATTATTGAGGAATGGGATCTCTGTGAGTTTTTTGCTTTAATGTATTGAGCTGATTGGTTCGTCCAGTTAATTCTCCATATTGTCGAGCTGATAGCTTAACTGTTGATATATGCATATTTTATTTTTGAGCTATATGTTGAAGCATGCCTAGTCTGTATGTGCTTGGATTATTTGGTTTGGCTTGACTGATGATTTTTTTATTATTATGTACCAATCCTGAATTACAGAGAAATTTCGTTGTGTCAAATATAATGCAGTAACAGGTGTAAATATGTGACTTATATACCCTTCCCTCGTAGTGATAGGTATTTTCCTGTTATGGCTTGATATTACAGTGATATGGGGGAAGGGTTTTATTGTTCAAATCAATGTAAATGACTTAAATTCAGTAATTATAGGGTGCCGTGGGAAAGCATCGAATGCTTTGAGGAAAATCTTAAAATTTTGGTTTGTGGAAATTGTTATTAAGTATGCTGTTATCAGAATTTCATTGTTCAGAAATGGACCACATCCAATTAAGTTGCTACTTATTTCAGTCGTAAGAGTTCTCTTTAAATGTCCAATTATACTACCAGGTGATTTATTCTTTAAAAGTATTTTGGCCGTTATCTCTGAAAATAGAGCAAAAGCTATACGGACACGAGAGCAACTAATGCAGCTAAGGAACTTAACAGCGGGTGCATTAAATTGTTAAATTGATATGCATGTAATCATGGTGGATCTTCACAAAATTTGTTTTAATTTCCTTTTGAAAACAAAAAATCGAATGAGTAAAGTGATGAAGGAACTTACCAATATTTGCTGCAGGAAATATGGAAGCAGCAAAACCGACAGTTGTTCCTCTGTATGACCAACATTTGCTGCAAACCATCTACATTCCAAACCTCCGTTTTTCGAAATTGAAAATCACTTATAAAATTTCTAACTGTTTAATGCCTAGGCATTAATTAACTATTAAATAGCACCGTAAAAAAGAGGTGCACCAGAATTTGAACTCAAACAGAAGTTCATGGAGTTTGGAGAAACCGATTACGATTTCAATATTACAACCAATGTGTACATCACTATGGGCCTAAATGTTAATCACTTGATCAGAAAATCTCATCAGCTCAAAACTTCTACACGACAACAGATCACAATTTGTGTGTGAAAATCACCATCTGCATGATACTTCATTGTCTAGTGGCAAACCTTGGTTTTGCTGACAGTGGTTTTGAACAATTAATAATCACAATTTTTTATCTTTCCACGCATAGTATTTTCTTTTCTCTTGCTTGTATCTTTTCCATTCCCTGAGGGCTGCAAGAAGCACGTGCAGAGAAACCGGGAGAAAGAAGGGCTGTTGAAGGAAATTCAAATAGACCCATTATATTTGCACACACCTTTTAGGACAAGTATACAAACAATATTCACACTTTCTAAGTTACAAATGCCTTTGAAAATAACTTACAATTACAAACACTCTATATTAAGCTAAAGTTAGATTTCATCTGAATATTTATCCTCCAACATTGACTAAAAAATGAACCTGGTCTACATTAATATCTATTTCTCATGTCACATTAGTCTAGTTCTCCCCATTGACCCAACTGTTGTTTAAGGTAAATGAATTTCCCCAATACCCAGGAGGTTAAGCATTGATTTACGAATGCTGCCTATTTTGAAGTACACAATATAAAAATATTTTGCAATATAATGAGCTTAAGAACGAATAGACATTCAATTATTACTTGTAAATCATCTTCCATAGACACTATTGAATTGTAAGAGAAACTAAATTAATATCAACAAACAGAATTTAGCAAAGAAACTAACCGAATAGACAGCAAAGCAGTGCTCAAATGAGTAGTAGCTCACAGACATCATGGACGGGTGATAAAATGCATCCTCAGCAAAGGATCTAGCTTGTCTCGAGGAAACTAAACATACAAGATATTAAAGCTCTCTGTTAGCATATTTATGATATCCCAAAAAAATGAAAGGGAAGAAAAGAAACACACTTTTGCCATGAATAAATAGAACCTTACCTGCAGAAGAATCATAAACTCCATCAGACACATTGCTTAAAGCCATTTTTGCAGCCTCAAGAGAGTACTTTACCTGCTCAGTAAGGTTGGAAGAATTAGCACTCTAGATTTTACCACCTCAACTAGAAAAACAGCAACCATGGGGGACAAAGCAAGCAGGATAACCTACTGGCCGCGTTTGAGCTTAAAAATAATATTCCCAGCTGAAGTATCAACTAAGATCTAAAGAAATCAAACCTAGAAATACAAACAAAATCTTATTATGTTGGCCTGTGGGAAAAGAAAAGGCCGAGGATATAATATCTCATGAAGTGTCATAAAAAGTTGTTAGCAAGTTAGACCTTGCATTCAAGAATTTGTGAAGAACTTTTATTGTTGAATTTCAGATCCCCATAAAGGATCCTAAAAACTAACGTAAACATTGTTTCTTTTTCTCCTCAAGCATCAATATTAGTTTATACACATTAACCCACCAGAAAACAGTATAACCGACAAGACCAATCAGAAGAGCGAAATGATACTGTATCATGTTAAGAGAGATATGATAACCAGCTCAAACTTAAACTTCTCAATGCATAGAGCGTTTTTTCTAGCATGCAACCTTTCTCAAAGTAATCACTTTAGCCAATGGAAATAAGCTACTGCTGTAGATGCACACAAAGCCCTCTGCAGGAAAGCATTTTGCAGATATATTCCAAATCATGAATAGGATTAAGACAAGTGAAACAACTCAACTAAGATAAACTGACCTGTTTCCCTATTTCATCCTTAATGATCATTCTAGGAAGTGACTTTACCTGCATATCCTCATGGTTATAAGTAAAGGACATGCACCACATTATACATAAATATATCATATATTAACAACATACCAGCCGAGAAAGTGATCCAAGAGTTGTGGAACATTGAAGAAGATTAAAACAAGTGTGCTGCCGGGACAACACATCCAATTCCCTTAAAGGCAGAAAATAAACATGCATTGAGAATCGAAATCAACATTTTGCTTTGTCGGATAAGATAAAAAAAGATATAAAGCCTTTAAGATTATTGAATTGTGTTTGTGCTAGTAAGTTTCTCAGCAATGCCTCCTGCCACGTTATGCATCTCCAGTTAAGTTTCTTACCATTCTGTAAAGCCTCTGTCACTTGTTAACAAACGTAATGTGCCGGATCCATCAGGCAAGAGTCCTTTAGACTTCAGACCAAAGAGTTGTCGTAACTGGCCTATGAAGACTTCAAAAATTTTCTTCATGTCCTGTTTCATATGAGTATGTTAGGCTCAGTACAAAGAAAAACATGTATGAAAGAAAGATTAATAATAACATACGATCATGTAAAAGTCGATGAAGGAGAAATTAAACGATGGAAACTGACCTCAGGAGAAATCTTATGCCTGATGTTAGTTTCCATTTTTGAGTCATTAAAACAAGCCGAAGGATTCCAAACAACAACACTTCCCCACATCTAAAAATTGACATATAAAGTAAGATTAGATTCAATTGGCACAACACGGCAAAAAAACCATGATTTTAGGTGCATGTAACTCACTGGAGATATAAAGCCATGTGTTGTAGAAATATCTCCATTTGGAAGCTGCAATTGAAGTGGACATTCTGATGCTGATGGCACATATCTGACATTATAAGTAGAACATAAAAAAAAAGGGCTAGAACATGTAGTAATTCCTACAGCATACGGGAGAACAGTCTTTGATACTTCAATTTTCAGGTGACAGAATTGAAGTGCAATAGAATCCAATATTATGATGTCTGTAAATTCTTTTTAGTAAGAAGAATAAAGTTCTTATGCCCTCTGGACCGATAGGTTTGTGGTTATATCTACCCGCAGAAACTTTGAATATAGCTACAGAAACAAATAATGATTTGAAGATTATACACTACAAAATGAAGAATCTTTGAGCGCCCTCCAGCTGCAACTGATGTATCCAGGTGCCACTCATTTGAGTTAACCTACAACAGTGGAGAGAAATAAGAAACTGCCAGCAACATATGAAAGCATCTCTAATCTATATTGACCCTTCCAAAGGCAGAAAAGGACACCGAAAACCTTTATATTTGCAACAATTTTGCACAGAATTTATTTGCATCATGAAAAAATGTCTCATAATCTTTGTCTCTTCAGCAGGTTGTAAAACACAAGGAAATTGAGAAAATAAAGACAATGTGTACCATAGTGTGCAAAGATAAACTCTAAGTGCATTCTAGCATCAGCCTACTTGGTTAATTGTAGTAAATTAAGGGATAGCAATGGTGTGAAAATTTGCATATAAGGCATGTTACAGCTGACCAAATTTCCCCGCACGGTTCTACTAATAACAAAGATTGATCAAGTACAAAAAATCAACTCTTGCCAATAGGAAAACCGTAGAGAACATACAAAGAAAGGAAGATCTTTTGCGGTGAAAATAAAGCTTCCCAACTTGTCATTCCAATAGGAAAATGATGCCTTCGGAGTGTGGTATAAAACCTGTCCAATAAAAAAACAATAGAATATGTTAATCAGAACGGTCACAAGCATGCATGTATAATAGAGATAAATTCTGGGTGCTAACAAGGGTTGACCACAACCTGACTCTCTACCCGAATATCTGCAAGAGGCTTCAGTGCCTCAGTAATGGGAGCCAAGAGATCATTTTCTAGCTCCTGGAAATCCCTGGGAAAATAAATAATTGAGATGGACCAGCTTTAGTCCATATATAAAGCAAATGAATGCTATACGACCTTATTATGCATGCCAAAAATGGTTCAAAAGGAAATCTTAAGATGAATATACGAACTCATTACCCCAGGCTTTAACGTAGAATTAAAAGAAGTCTTGTAAAGCAACTACACAAGCAAAGAAGTTAACAATTATCGCCTGAATCAAGAGAATTCTTTATTTCATCATACTAATTTAATAAACAACACCTAGTCAACAAAATCGCATAACATAGTTTCCATACCAGTCATAAATCCAATCCCGTGGATCAGCATTCAGCAAATTGAAAGAGAGAACAATCCTCCCATCTGCCCCTACCGGCATAAACTCCCCAGAAATAGAACCTTCCTCTTTTCCACCATTCATGAATGCCTTCAAGAAGATCTCAGCCACCTTCATCGCAGCCTCCTCCTCTGAAACCCGACCTACAACCCACGCATGCCGGTATTTCCCAACAACAGCAGTCACATTCTCGTCTTCCTCTCTCCTAACCACAATGACAGTATAAACTTCACCATTACTAGGATTGCCATTGTCATCCAACAAAGACTTCAAATGGCCATCAAACAACTCATCATCATATTCCCTCGAATTCCAATACTGGTTCAGCTCATTAAGCGATCCACATTTCCAATCAAATCCACTGTCGCTACGAGAACAGTCGGAGACAGATTCTAAGGCTACAGAAACAGTAGAATTATAATCACAAGTGCCGCAAGATGTGGAATCTTTTGCAGCGAGCTTCCGCATGTGAGATTGAATCAAAACCGACAACTCGTTAGCAGAATACGAAGCTCCACCACCATCGAAAAAAACTGCTCGAAATTTGCAAGGAAAATGTAAGGGATTCAACTCCACAGAGGCAGATAATCTGTTGATCTCGCGGAACGGCAACGGTGATCTGTAAATTTCAATTGTTTTCAGGAAAAATGGTAGACCTGCAATTACAAGAAGAAAAAAGAAGATTGAAATAAATAATCATAAGATGAAGGTGAAATGTAAAAACGTGGTAATTTGAATGTGGAGATTGTTGACTGGCCTGTGAGGAAAGACAGGAACACTGTGACAGTGAGAGCCAAGCGCTTAAGTCCGGGCTTGGTTTTGCGCATGGTTTCAGGGTCGAACTCCGGTTGACTGCTCTGAATTTCAGAAGCTGAAGACGGCGGAGCTCCGGAGATTTCAGCCATCGCCGATGAAGTTGGAGTGTCAGCGGCATCCATCGTCTTCTACGGCGTAAACTGGTTCCAAAGAAAATTACCGCACATACGGATTTGCAATTATAAATCAATAAGATAAATTGTTTTTTATTTTTATTTTTTTTATCTATACTAGTATGTGGCCCGTGTAGGGCTGTTCAATCGGTCAAAACCGAACCGAACCGACCGAAATTTCGGTTAACCAAACCTTCAAACCGAAAACCGAACCGAAAGTTATGGTTCGGTTTGGTTTTTAACCAGAAATTTATCGGTTGGTTGCAGCCCCAATTTCACCAAATGATAGCCCTAATTTTAGCAAATCGCCACCATAATTAACAGAAAAATAATCAAAAAGTAAAAGACGAAAGAGAGAAATTAATTTCATCCTTGAGAGCTTGAATTCGAAATTCACCAAATTGGTTCAATCCGAGTAGAGTGAGCGAGTGAGCGGGAGCTGGGAGTGCGACGGCGATCTCGGGTTTCAGAGCACCGATCGTCAAGCGCGACAGTTGAAGACTTGGAGTGTGTGATTGAGTGCGGCGGAGATTTAAGAGATTCTCGTCTGGAATTTGAAGAAGGGAGATGGGTGATGTGTCGGTCGACATATGAGAATGAGAAGATGACGGATGATGATGATGAACAAATAATAATGGGAGTGGGTTGGGCAGCAAATAATAATGGGAGTGGGTTGGGCCAGTCTCGTGCATGTGGGCTTGTTCATGTCAGTTTTATTTTTTACATATAATGGGCCTCAAAACTAGAAACATGGGCTTGAGTAATATAAACATATTTACCTCCTAGAAGAACTCATACAACATATCAAATTATCTTCTCCCAAATTAACTCCCCAAATTAATTCCCTTGTATCTCTTTCTTTCCCGTCAATCTCTCGATCTGAGAGAATACTCCGATCAGGACCAGATTCACCATTTCCACTGCCTCCCCAATAGCTTATCATCTCTGGATCTGAGCGATAATGAAGATGAAGACGGCACTGTGATGGCCGCGGCGGCTAGCGAGTCGGAGATGGCAATCGAACGCACTCTCGTTCAGCGCCGTCGCACCTTTGACGGCAGAGAACGCCGTGCGCGGTATCTCGTTCAGCGCCGTCGCACCCGACTGGGAGGCTCAGTTGTCGGACGACCAGTGGACCGAGCGGCTCCGGAGGTTGAGGAGGCCATCCGCCACCACCTCTGCACCTGACGCTTCAAATTAATTAATGGGTTACTAAAATTTTATTCCCTTGTTATCTCATATGCTTACTGATAAAATGTCTGTACAATTGCACCCTTGTTCATTTCTCATTTGATTTAATTATCAATTGCAATTAAACAGATGTGTTTTTTATTAATTAAGGAATATTCTTTGTTTCTCACTTGATTTATTTATCTCACCTTGTTTGATGTTGCTAAGGTCATAGTGTGAGATTTCGTACAATGTGGTTAAATATTTGAGATTTTGGAGTTTGTAATATTAAGGAATTTAGAGCTTTGTACAAATCAGTTTATATTATTATTCTTCTTCTTCTTTGGCTTGTGTGTTGATGATAATAATATTTGGAAATTTGATGATGAGATTGAGAACAGGATATTCATATGCTTGAAGAACAAATTTGATAGATTGTAATTGTAAACTATACATAAATTTAGAGTATGCATTCTTATATAATAAACTGAAAATAAACCATATATAAATTTACATGTTTGTGTGTATAAGAATATTAATTTGATGTTTATTGATTGTATATTTTTGTCTTATCTATGGTTTATATTCCCTTTTTTTTTTTTTGCACTTGATGTCTATCTTGAGTTGATTTTTTTAGTTATTGATTGTATTTTTTGTTTTATCTATGATTTATATTAAGTTTTTTTTTGTCTATTTAATTTTTTACAAATTAGTAAAAATTAGATAATAAACATAAGATAAACTGAAAATTAGTTTTTAATAAAGTATAGAGATAATGCAATAAATTTAAGACAAACTGAAAGTAATCTAAAAGAATTCACAAAAGATCATGAGCGTGATTTTCAAATAAAAAAGGTTTTGGGAGACTTAAGGGAAATAAAAAAGGCTTTGTGTGTATAAGAGTATTAATTTTAACTATAATAAACTAAAAATATACTATATGTAAATTTTCCTTGTATAATAAACTAAAAATAAACTTTATATAAATTTAAATTTACAGTTTCTTGTAATTTTATAACTATAATAAACTAAAAAATATACTATATATAAATTTTTCTAGTATAATAAACTGAAAATAAACTATATATAAATTTAAATTTACAGTTTATATTTTTGTAATGGTTCATAAACCTATAATAAACTAAAAATAAATTAGATACAATTTATAGTAGAAAATATGATTTATAAGATAAACTAATAATAAATTAAAAATAAATTAGACATAAATTTATTGTAAAAAATCTGGTTTATAAACCCAACATTAGATATAGATCTATATAAACAAAGGCAAACAAAATTTTGCATCTTGTAATTTACATTAGTGAAATATTAACACAATTTTACTGAATTTTCTACTTCTGTATTCTAATTAAACATTTTTTCTTAATAAAATCAACAAATGAATTTTCCCAGGCATCACAAGAGATCCGGCCGTTTCTATTTGGTAAGTTTTTTTTTTTTATTAAATTTGTCAAGAATATCAGTTATATTCATTTGCGGAAGAATTAAATCTTTCGTTAGTTGCCTTTTTTAATTTAAGGATCGTATTAGGGGCATAAAAACACAATCATGTCACTTGATTTGGTATTGAAATCTTTCTTTCGTAAAATTTTTATTTCAGAGTCCAAGATTCGTAGTAGTGTACTTTAGCCTATATATAATATCGGTTTTCGGTTCGGTTTGGTTAACCGAACATTTGTATCCAAACCGAACCGAAAACCGAAATTTTTAAAAAATGCAAACCGAAAACCGAACCAAAAATTCGGTTTCGGTTTCGGTCCAAACCAAAATTTCGGTTTCGGTCGGTTAACCAAACTTTGTGCACCCCTAGCCCGTGCGATACACGAGTAAATAATATTAAATAATAATTATAAATTAAAGATATAGGTAAATAATATGTATTCGTTTAGGATTTTGAGTGCCACTTTGAGATTTTTTAAGATTTGAGACTTTTAAGATGGTCAAATTTTAGAGGAATACTATGAAATCTTAAGTGTGAATGTGAGATTTTTAGAGTGAAATTTTGTATAATGTTTTTTTCTTTTAAATCATGACTAATCTTAAAAAGTCCTAACAAACCTTGATCTCAAATAAGTTAAATATTTAAGGATATTTTAAGGTTTTTTAAATTTTAAATATCAAAGATGAACCGCTTTTGTTACCAAAAAATGTGGACACAATTTTGAATGTACATCCCGTCCAAATATCAGTTTTATTCTAAAATAAAAATTGCACGTGGTTTTATCCAATTTACACACTTTTTTTTGAAAGAAAAAATTATTCAATAAGATTGGAAGAATTGGTCAAGAATTATACAACTATTTGGTTCCAAAATTTGTATCCAATTTGTACGGTTTTTAAGTTAATTTGTATTTAGAATTGTTTTCATAAATAATTGACACATTTTTTGCATAATCCAAACTTCAAACTTGTTACCAAAAAATATATGATTTAAATTTTGGTAAAAAAAATAAAATATGATACAAAAAAAATGGGATTCAAATTTTGCCATAAGAATCTCCAAATTAGTTACCAAAAACAAAAGAATTCAGATTTTGTTACTAAAGATACACATGTATTTTTTTGAACTTTCCATTAATAGTAAGTCAAGCATTATATTTATTTGGTCAAACTTTCTATTAATGTATTTTTCCAACAACCTCTTTATATATACTAGTACGGTACCCGTGCGATGCACGGGAGCATTTAGTACCTATTTATTTTTAAAAAGTATTTTTGTATTTAAATTATCTCATACCATTAAAAATTTCATGAAAATAAAATTTATATGTTATTAAACACTTCCTTATGTACAACATTATTGATTTGATTCTTTGGCACGTAAAGTACTACATAGGTGTTCGAGTTTATCCAAAATTGCATATTATTAATTATTAGTTAACAAATTTTAAAAAAATTAATTAAAGGATCTTATTTATTAAACAAAATTAAAGTAGAAAAAAAAAGTAGAATTTTTTAGGGATTTTCACCTATTATTTATTTTAAATCTAATTCCAAATTTCAAATTAAGAAAAATTGAAAAGAATCATTAGTTACTCCTGGAAATGAAAACGATTTTCCTACCAATAAACTGATTTTTTTATCAAACAAATTGATACGAATTTTTTTAAACCAAATAAAAAATCATCAATTTTTCCTAAAAAATGCAACCGAATTTTTCTAAAATTTCGCCAATTTTTGTACCAAACAAATTGAATTGAAAATAATTCTAATAAAAAATTAAAATAAATTGTTAATGTTTATAAAACTGTCTCTTTTCTAAAGAAAATGATATGAACTTAACCAAAAAAATGATATGAACTTACCAAAATCTCGGTAAAACATGGTTAAGAAAAAATATAAGAATCCAAAAAAATCGATGCATTTAAATTTTAAAAAGTTGCACACAATTTTTCTTAAATAATTGGATAAGGTGACTTTAAATATCAATGATGAACCGCTTTTGTTACCAAAAAATGTGGACACAATTTTGAATTTACATCCCGTCTAAATATCAGTTTTATTTTAAAATAAAAATTGCACGTGGCTTTATCCAAGTTACACAATTTTTTTGAAAGAAAAAAATTATTCAATAAGATTGGAATAATTGGTTAAGAATTATACAACTATTTACTTCCTAAATTTGTATCTAATTTGCACGGTTTTTAAATTAATTTGTATTTAGAATTGTTTTCATAAAAGTTAACACATTTTTTGCATAAGAATCTCTAAATTTATTACCAAAAAAGACATGATTTAAATTTTGGTAAAAAATTAAAATATGATACGAAGAAAATGGAATTCAAATTTTTCCATAAGAATCTCCAAATTTGTTACCAAAAAATAGGATTTAGATTTTGTGACTAAAAATTCACATGTGTTTTTTTGAACTTTCCATTAATAGTAAGTCAAACATTATATTTATTTGGTGAAACTTTCTATTAATGTGCTTTTTAAACAACCTCTTTATATATATATAGATATAGATATATATAATAAGAATTAACATTTACTAAAAATAGTAGCTAAAAGATTAGGAAACATTGAATGCATACCATTTTTGGAAACTTTTTAAATATATACATTAATTGCTTCCATATACACGTTTTCAAATAAGATATGATCAAAAAATTAATTAAATAAAGTTATTAATATCAGCAATACTTTCATTGATATTTATTATAAAAATTACAAGATTGATTTTTCGTGATCCATGTTGATAATATTTTAGTCAAGATAAATATTATTTTGTTATATTTCTAATACTTTCATTGATATTCATTATAATAAATTACAAGATTGATTTCCACGATCCATGTTCATAATATTTTGGTTAAGATAAATATTACACCATATTTTAAGTTCTAACCATAATATAATTTTTTTCACAAATATTCATTTTTTATCCAAAAATATTTATGGAAAATCGTAACAGGTTAGGTAAAATTGTTTTTCCAAGTAATCAGACAAAATGAAGTTGGTGAATTAATCTTTGCCAATATATTATTTTCTTAAGCTTTATTTTGTTAAACATAAAAAATAAATTTTTCTTCAAATTAATATAATTTACCATTTAAGAGATAATGACCATATACATTAAATAGTTTTACTAATGGTAAAAAATTAAAATTAGAATATATTAACTATTTTTTAGAATTTTTTGTATATTATTGGCACCCATGATTATTTTTTTTATTTTTATTTTAATTTATTTTTATAATTAAATTCTTGTAAAATAAATTTTCATTGCAAAGTATGCTAAATAAACTATAAATCATTATAATGCGAATTAGAAAAATCTTGATCATAGAAGGGATTGAGTTTTTGGTATTTTCTAAGTCAAAGTTGTTTAATTAGTATACAAAATTAAATTCTAAAAAAACATGTGTATATTTTGTAAAATATTTACATACTATTTAATTTTAAATTTATTTACATATTTTAAATTGATTACAAAAATAAATAATACTAACGTGCATTAAATATTTTTCATTACATAAAATAAAATGAAAAAGAAG